GTTCCAAATCCTTCCACTCCGGGAAACCTGAACCCTAAACGACGCCTGAAGCCCAATGGGCCCCAAACCTTTCCCTTAAACCCCTTACGAAACCCGACACATCCTTTGTAATCTCTTCCCATCTCCCCCTCATAGAAAAAGGCACCGTAGAAGCCAGGGCTCCTGGTGAGGGCCGCGTGAACCTTCGGCAGGAAGCCCTCAACAAGGCGGTCGAACTGCCAGAGCACCACACCCAGCTTCTGGAACTTTGGCCTCTTCCAGAGCCGTAGGATTATGTAGGATTATGGGGTTCTGGCCTCTCTCAGAGGGTGGCAGCAGACAGTCTTTTGGGCTGTAGTGTCCAGGTAGCCTGCTTAGCCTGAGGCTTCTGTTCATCCGCCTTCGGAAACGCAGGACTGACGGGGTGCGAGCTGGGCACAGGGTTCCCATACTACAGGAATCCAGCCAGCGGAAACATGAAAGAAACGCAGAATCGAACCGAGAAGACCGCAGCCTGCCAAGCTGTAGTCTCCGGCATACTTGCAACTTACACACTTGCATGATCTTACATGAGCCCAAGCTCCCCGGGCCTGTACAAGTCCACCAAAGAATGCCGCAGAAGCAGGGCCAAGCCACAGTTGAAAGACGAAAGCTCGTCTTCGGGAAAAACGAGAACCCTCAGATGGCGCTGCACCAGGGCACTAGGGGCCAGGGACGGGCACTTGGCGCTGGGAGTCTTCAGTAGCCGACCACGATCTTATGACATGAATAATAGCGATCGCGCCATTGAGACATCACACATCTCCATGTTCGGAGCTTAACTTGGCGGATATGTGTGGGCATGAACTGCGTGCATACCCTACAAAATCGTGCCTGCGGTGATGTTTCACATTTTTCAGGAGGAAACCATAATATGTGTATATGTATGTATGTGTCTGTGTATGTACATATATATATATATACATGTTGTATGCATGTATGCATGCATGCATGCATGTATGTGCGTATGTCTGTACGTGTATATATATATATATATATATGTATATATATATGTATATATATATATATGCATATATACGTTACATACGTGTGCACATGTGTATGTGTCTGTGTGTCTATATACATAGTGTATACATATACATTCACAAACATATACATATGCATGTACATATACTTATACTTGTACATATACATACACAAGACAAGCATGTACAGATACAAGAACCTGCACATATGCATACAGTATACATAGACGTATACATATTTATAATTACATATACATACATACATACATACATACATACATACCTACCTACCTACCTACCTACCTACCTACCTACCTACCTACCTACATCAATACATACATACATACATACATACATACATACATACATACATACATACACACACACACATACACATACACATGTGAGTGCGTGTGTGTTTGGGGGGATGTCTGTATGTAGGCAGGTACGTACGTATGTGCCCACGTGTCTGAGCATGTATGCATGCATGTATGTATGTACATGTGTGTGAACGCTTGTTTTTAACTTACTTCATTTAACAAAGTTATCAGGTATAGTAACAAGAAGAAGAAACACATAAACCCTGATGGCTTCGGACGCTGCAACCATGACACATCGTTGCAACGACGAAGTTCCTGAGATCGAGCTGCTCTGGGCCGGGAAACAAAAAAAATGCTGCTAACGGGAGCAACAGCAAAAATAGCACAAGTGGCAAGAACAATAATGGCTGCTAAGGCCCACACAGACTTTGACAGTAGCCGATTTCGCTGAGCCGAATCGCCAGGGCATGCAAGAGCCTGCCAATTTGGCGGAGGAGCCAAAACAAATTAAGTTCACAAGTGCGTCGCTATACCGGCCTGAAAAGCATGTGCTGCCCATTTCCATCTTCCCTGAAGAGCGGCTCTTGGGGAAGCGTTCCTCAGACCGTAGTGATGACTTGCGTTCAGCTCAAAGGATCAGTGCACAGAAGAGCATCCCACTCGCTTCGGATATGGCTTTCGACCACAGGATATTCAAGGCCGGGTCTCTATGTACATCTCGGCGGATGGCCGAATCGTAAGCACATTCCTGCTGGCAGAGAGTGTCCTCAGTAGCTCCGGACTTGGCACTACCCGGCAGTCACTCCTAGCCAAAAGACAAAATCAATCTTCATCCAACCCCGCCCCTCTCCCCTCCTCGTAACGGCCGAACAGGTCTTAACTTTCCTTTACTCTGCCCAGGAGCATAGTCTCCGGAGTCAGGTTGCAAGGTTATTCCGCCCAGCAGCAGCTCCTGGCGGCATTGCTGTCATCATGACTAGCTGTGTCTGCAGCCGCTACCGTTAGACTGTTGCCTTGTTCTTCAAGACACTCCGCGAAGAGGCACGAGTCAGACATGTTGCATTCTGCTACCAAGCGGCCTTTGCCGACCGACGAGTCCCCAAGAACGAGCACATCTTGTAGCGTTGCAGGATCGTCGTTTCTAGTGACTCTAGTGGCTCTAGTACATGAAGGTGATGTTCAGATTGCGAGTGAACCCAGAAAGAGATTCTTGACGCGATCCCCTTCCAGTTCTTACCAACAATCGTGCGAAGCCTGCTTCACACTCCCTGGCCCTTGCTGGCCTTCCAGGCACTCGCGCGCCGAGTCCCCAAGTCTTCGTTCCACAGGGCTTCCATGATTGGCTGCCTCAAGGAAAGCTTTGGGCTTGGAAATAACAGAACTGCCCGGCGAACTGGCTGGCCGAAGCAGCCTACGCGTCTCTGTTGCGCAAATTTCGGAGTGTTCGACAGCTCTCAGATTGTACGAACAGCAAAACACATCTCATTGCACCAACATCTAGTGCAGTAAGCTGCCTTACTACTAACGCTACAATTCCACTACACCCTAAACCCTTTAGCCCTAAACCCTTTACCAGAAACCCTAAGCCCTATAAGCCCTGAGCTCTATGTGCCACCAGATGGCGAGATCCCACCTGGCAGTCCAACGGACCATCCCGGCTGGCCTTCCGAGTCAAAAAGGGGCCCTGATAGTACATTACGTAGAGCGTTTAGGATTTATAAGGGTTTAGGAGTCATATAGGGGCTTGATAGTACATTACAAATAGCGACTATAATAAGGAACCCTCGTTGGGACGAACCCTTTACCATCTCCAGACTCTCAGAAAGATTTGGTGATTTAGGGGCTTGGGCCTCGGGTTTCAGGGTTTCGAGTTCAAGGGTTTAGGGCCCAATGGGTTTAAGGGTTTAAGAATTTCCAGGAGCATCTTGGGGAGGCTTCGGGGCGTTCGGGGCATCAGAGACTCAGGGCTGCCGGCGTTCGAAGAATCGAACTTTGCTGAGGGAACTCAAGAAAGGAAGCCAGCTGGCTGGCGTCAAAAGCAACAGAGCCTGAAGCTCGTTGACTCCGCTGGAATCCGCCAGAGTCTCGAATCCCCAACCCGACTTTGTCTAGGCAGCTGCTTCCGGCCCTGACCCCGATCATTGGCACTGCCTCCCCCCCCCCCCGCCACCATCGCGCAAACGCTATAAACTATAAACCAGAGCACCAAGCAGCAACTTGTTCAATGTCCTCACTTCCTCACTACAACGTTCCTCTGCTCCGGGGACACGGATCCGGCCTTGGCAGTCCTGGCAGGGTGTCCGAATAAAACGCCCCCTCGACGACTCGCAAAGCTCCAATCTCAAAGTGGCACGAAATCCGATAGAGTGAGTGACTAAACCTACACCTGGACCATCAAACGGCTGATCGGAACACTTTTAACCCCACACTCGACAACCCGACCCGACTCATGTGCCGTCCTTCCCACGGATGAGGCCCCGCAGATCGGGGCACACGAGGCAACATCTCCGGGCCTGGCGCATCACAGGCTGGCAAAGGTTCTACCGGATGCCACCGGCATGGGCTTGCTAAACAACCATAGGATGGATGTCGGCTACAGCTCCAAGAGGACAGCATACTGCTGGAATGACACCTCAAAGGGAGGATTCAGAACACGCCCCACAGCCCTCATGTGGGCAGTTGCCATCAATTCGGAGCTGTGCAGTAGGATTGGAGAGGCAGACGGTCCATGCCACTTGAATAAGTTTCGATTCACAAACCGAGTGGCCCAGGTTTAGTCTACGCCACTTACTAGTTGAACTTGTACGACCCCCCAGCACTTAAACGGATCAGAAAATCGTACCAACAACTCAATGCGCTGGACTGAGACCCACAGAGCTGTCAAAGAGATGCTGCCTCCCCCGTGATCGCGCTGAACGAACGGGGACGAACGCGACAAGCATTGAAGGCCCTCTCAGTCAAGAGCTATTGATGCGTCCTTGCAGACCACATGCAAAGCAGCATACTTTCTGCCGGGTTTAGGGTTTAGTTTCAACCCCCCGGCCCCCTCCCCCAAACCTCGCCTCGATGAAGCGCAAGTAGTTCAAGAGCCCTGCAGACAGAAGCACCTGCCACGGCTCGGACACCTCAGCTCTCGATGTGTTCCAGGCTTTGAGTTACTTAGGGTCTAGGGTTTGGGGTTGCTCACAGTCTGGTCCCGGGTGTGGGGCTTTTGGTGCATGTACGAGCCTTGCGGTTTAGCCGACCGTTTGGGGAAGCAGCTTGCACATGCAACTCCCCACCAAGCCCCTGGCTTCCTCCAGGGCATCAGGCCCTTGCATCTCGTGCCGCCGACATGGGACCAGCGGAAGGGTGAAAGGGAGCCCAAAAGCCCTGCACCGCCCTGGCTTGTGATGGTCGGGTGGGAAGCGAATTCTTCATGTATAGCGCTTTCGGCTGAAGATTTCTGCTTGGTTGCCTCATATCAAGGGAGCGACCTTGAGAGAAAATGCAGCAACGAGGCTTCGAAAGGCAGGCAAGGGGCGAACCCACAAAACCACACCAACAAACCCCGCTGTGCTGCAGACTTTCGATTGGCTGGCAAACCCGTGTATCTTGCAGGCCCCCTTTTTGAACCCCACAGCGGCGATGGGCTGTATCGCCTCCGCCCAACTGTCACTAACGGTGCGCATGACTTGCAATCTGGCCACCTCAGCTGAAAGCCCGAAACCAAGTAAAATCATGCTTCGGGTCTGCCTGCAGTGTGAAATGGAGGGAATTAGTGGTGATCTCGTGGTACTGTTCGACTAGTACTCCATTGGCTTACAACAGTGGTAGTGGTACTAATACAGCAGCAACAACAACAACAACAACAACTACTACTACTACTACTACAACAACTACAACTACAACTACTACTACCACCAGCACTACCACTACAGCTACCATTTCGACTAACACTACCACGACCACGTCCACTGCCACTACCACTCCTACACTGCTGCCGCTACCGCTACTGCTACCGCTACTGCTACCGCGACTGCTACTTCTACTGTCTATGTTGCTAGTAATCCCCTGCCCCCTATTCTTAAAACACCCCCTCCCTTAACTGTAAATATTGTTTTTCGGTGAAAAAGTCAATATTTGAGATCCATATGCGCGATCTCTGTTCCTTCTCGTGCCTATTGCTCTTGCAGCCTGCAGTTCATGGGCAGTCCGCAGCCCGTGTCGCTTATGACTAAGCCAAACTGTAGAAGCCGTCCAGTACAGAGTCCCAGCTTTGGATGCAACCGATTGATCAGCCAATCTCTTCGTCTGAGGATGGCTTCCTTCGGCATTGGAGCGCTGCTCGTAACTGCAGTGTTCGTCCTCGCCATCACCATCAATGCTGTGGTCCAGTCTTCTGCTCAGCACTGCCGACGTTCGTGTTGCATGTGCTGTTCGGAACTTTCCGGAGCAAGAAACCCTAATGAGACTAGCAATCCTTGAACCCGAAGCGCTCAGAACCGCTCGCCCAAGCCGAAGCCTCGACCGGTCGAGGCGCAAAGCTTTGCCTTCGCCACACTGGAAGGCTTTGGCAGGTCCCGGTACCATGGCCGGCCTGCTCTGGGCCTTAGGCAACTTCTTCCAGGCAGAGAGAGACGAGGGTCCACGAGAGTCCACGAGAGTCCACGAGAAGTCTTTGTCTTTGGCCTTTTGGTTGTTGAGCTGTGGCCAGACTGCCGCCGTCGTCAGAGGAGGCAGCGCGGCCTGGACGGCATTCGAAGCCCAGAAGCGCCTTTAAGATCCTCTAGACGCAGTGGACCAGGTCTGCACATTGTATGGGTCTGCTACCCCTTGTAGTGCTCTCAGCAGAGGCTGTGATGCTGCCTGCCAACCAAGCCATTCAATTGGTGACCTCGGGAGCCTTTGGTCTGCTCTACTATCATGAGGCTCGCGCTCCCAGTCGCATCTTGGCGGAGAGACTCCTGGCTGGTTCAGGTTCCAAACTTACGTCGAGCAGTGCTCTGGACTGCCGCTGCGCTCTGGACTTTGGGGTGCATCATCCTCCTGAGCAAGGAGCCGTCCCCAGGTAGGAGGTGATCTATGACCGAGGCACAGAAAATCACAGAAAGGAGAGCACGCCCCTGGATCGGCAATCTCCCCTTCAGGTTGTGCAATATGTCAAGCACCTAGGATAAACATAGGATTCCCATGCAGCACAGGCATAACAAGGTGATGCTTGAGCAGAGAGGGAGGGGCAGAGGGGAGCAGCAAATGACGAGGAGAAGTCCTGAGCTGCGTGCGCAGCCCTGTTTCACCGCCTGCCATGCTTCGACCCCTGTACAGCGATAGTGCGGGCGCAACCCGAAGAAGCCGGGTTTAGAGTGGGCGAGTGGTGTGGTGTGTGGAACTCTATAATTAGGAATTAGTGATAGATATAGCCGATGTGTTCCTGGCCTGAGGCTGGGGCGTTTTCTGGGCAAGCGCCCTCAGAGCTCCGTCCCGAGAGCGGAAGAGCCGACGCTTTTCGCCTGGTGCTCGAGAGCCGCTCGCTTTTTGCTCCCAGGATGCACCGCCACTTCCCGCAGCAGTGCGGGTGCGGAACTCGGCTTTGACCGTCTCTGCGTATCAGAAGCCTACATGTGCTAAGGCCGCAGTGCCCGAGGAGGGCGGCTTCGTAGTGCGACCTCTGACAAAGCCGTTGCCTCCGGAGGCAGGTCTCATGTCGCTCCTCGCTCTTTCGAGCTTCGAGTGCGTGGCAGTTGTGTGTCCCGTGCCTGCCACGAGGTCCTCTGCGTACAGAACAAGGCTGGCAAGACATGTTACTTGAGTCAGTGGGAGGATCGCGGAGATTCGTGTGGGGTATGAGCAGACGACCAGTTGTGCTGCCTTGTTCTGCTTGCACTGAGGCGTAATTGTGAGGCTGAGAGAATCACGCTAGGATTTTCTGGCCTGTACGCTGCACTCGTCCTGCAGGGTCGGTGTCTCTTGGCGCCACGGCGTGAGGTTCATGCGGAACTGGGCGGCTTGGACTTGGATTGTCATGATTTACGCAGGACCGTTTAGCCACGTCTCTTGCTTGCCATCTCAACAAAGGCTTTCCTGAGCCCGCTTTGATCAGCAACGAGGTGATCCATGTTACTTTTGGGAGGCCGAGAGGCTCAGTGCAACGTTGCCAGGTGTTTGCGGAGGTCCGATATGGCTTGGCTCCTTCCGTGGTGCAGCGCTTGGACTTCGAAGACATCCGAGAAGGCCACTGGAAGTGTTGCGGTCAGTGATGCATGCTGAAGCGGCGCGGCTGGCGCAGGGACGCTGCGTCTCTTCGCAATCCCCGGCTTCGAAGGGGACGTGCGAGTCGTGACTGTTGTGGATGAGACGGCAGCCACAGAAGTTCTGGCACAGATCGGGCACGCTGGCATGCTAGGCAACGCAGGTGCGCTTGAGCTGCGTGGGATTGCTTGAGTCTTGCCGTTAGATGGATGACCTTTCCCAGCTGAGATTCCCATGCTTGTCAGGTTTGCAGAGGAAGAGGCTTTCAGAGTTTCTCCATGCCGCAGCGGCATCTCCTTCGGCAGCCAAGTGGCCGACAACAGCAGAGGCCGCGAAAAGACCGAGTGTTGACCAGCCCATGCCCCTGTACAAATCTGCACAAGTTCAGTCCGATCGGCAGGTAACATCCGGTGACTTCGCCGAGAGCCTGCTGCAGAGGCTGTAACATCGGGTGTGTATCCTTTTTCAGATCACTACAGCCAAGTGGAGGCCCTTTTTGAGGGCCTCAGGACTTTAGGACTTTGGAGTTTTAGGGTTGAGGGTTGCGAAGTGGAAGCTTTCTGGCTGGTTCAAGACACTAACCCCCAAGAATGCTGCCGGAGTCCGGGCACAAAACAGTAACCACGAGTCGGGAAACAACCACCGCCGAGTCGTTTGTCGTTGGATTTTTGACGGCGACTTACGAGATATGCTTGGGGGTGTCACGTTGTGCAGTGGGACACATCGAATTCCCTGCACCCACTCTTTTTGGGCCATCGGGCTTGCCACTAATTCTGTCAACTCCCGAAGTATATAAACCTAGCTTATTCAGAGAGCTTCCTAAAACCACACCCGCTATGGCCGAAGTGCATACGCAATTGCTGCACGCATTTAGCTACCCCACCCAACCGAAAGCGGAATATTGTCGTATGTTTAAACAGGCACATCACTCTTACTGTACGCTGTTGACAAAAGGTTCAGGGGTGGGTGTATCGGCAAGTGGTGCCATGGCGATGATCTGAAAGAGATGCTTTTGAGAAAAGGGGATAGATCCCAATGACGCAGGGTCGTAGAAGGCATAACTGTTGGAACTGACCTGTGCCTCCTTGTGCACTTGATGGCCAGGCCTGCACCAGAAGAGCTGCGTGGTGCGGCGGCGGATGAAAGTGGGCTCTTCCCTCACCAGGCGAGGGACTTTTTGGGTGCTTCAGCACATGCTGCTCTTGCCATCGCCCCCACATTGATCTCCAGTTGCAGGCTGTGATCGCCTTACTTGGACCTACCAGCCTAAACTCAAACCAACTTGAGCCATGTCCGCCGAGTCTTCCTTTCACGTATGTGCCAGTGGTCGTCATGCGGAGGATGCAAATTATTGTAGGCCAGCGTTATGAACAATGAAGACACAGTCACGTGCGTTGCAGCAGCAGTAAGTTAGAATGAGTACTCAGCGCTGGATAGTGCTTTTATAGTGCTGCAAGAGAGCGCTTGCCAGCCTCTCGAAGCAGCAGCCCATTTGAGGCAGAGTCACATTTTGTTTAAAATTGCGACGCTGGCAATATGGTCTAATATGGTTGCATGGCTGCATATCGCTGCATAACTGTATTGCCGCTTTGCAGGGCTGGAACGTGGTGATGTCTAGTGGCACACGATGGAACATGTACATGCAACCTTTCTTGCACCGCTGCAACACCAGCACACAGACCACGGATTGGGACCCCGAGGGAAAGACGTCTTCGAATCACCCTGACGAGTTGCTGAAGCCCCTTCCAGCTTGGGATGTTTTCCCAGATCCGGCGGTTTGCAGGCTTTCCGGCGATTTTTGAATACTTGCGAAGTTGTGCTACACTGTTTTATTCAGCTTTCAGCAATCTTTACGCTGGGCCGCCTTGTTGTTTGTGTCACCTGCGCCTGCAGGTTGCCACAGTGACATGGATGCAAGGCATTGAACAAAGGGGAGCGCAGTGCTTGCAGGCATGGCCATGCACCGACCTAATATGCAAGTCGCACGCACAGTTTGTGAAGCAGCACGCCCTTTGGCAGGTGGCGCCGTTGCATTTCGCAGGTACCAGCCTGGGATCCTCTTACGATTTGACCCTCCCGCGTGGGGGTGTAGTGGCACACCCTCCTGGTTCAGGAGACTTGGATGCACAAGTAGACATCTTGTTGAACGAACCGCTTGCAGCACGGCTTTTGCTGGCATGCTCACAAGGCAAAACGCGTATTGTGGCGGCCCTTGCTGCCCGTGACAACGACCGGGAGGCACTTCAGGGCCCCTCGATGGCAAGGACATGGAAGGAGATGGCCCTTTGGCATCAGCGCTGCGCGCTGAGGTCGGGTCTCCGTCTCCGAGAATCGCCCAGCCGACCTGCTAATCCTGGCCGCTTGATGGTCTCACATCTCGTGTAAACGGGTTCCCTATGGACAGCAGCCTTTTCTGGTTTGCCATACTGAGGGGAAGTGGCTGCAGTGGCTCTGTGGAGACTCCTCACCGCAGCCGCCGCATCTGCCGCAGGCAGATCCGCTGTGGTGGCACCGAGTGGTGCTCAGCAAAAGCGATCCCCCTGAGGCTCCGGTGGTTCCACAGGTGGCAGAGCAGAAGCTGACCTTGCCACTGGTCCGAACTGTAAGTGAAGAGACGAACTTCCGTGCATCTCCCCCCAAAGTTTGCACCGCAGCAAGACTATGTACTAACAGCAGAAGCAACGGTACTAATGACAGATCTACAGCCTTCAGTCGCGCAGGTTCCTGTGCATGACCAGCCGGATTGAAGCACATCGCTTGAGTGCAGAGTTATCGTCGGCTTGAAAGTCTGCGGTTCAGATGAGGATTGTTTGCCCCGCTCATCTGGTTCGCCAGTGGCAGCAGGAGCTGCAAGGCCAAGGCGCTGTCGATACAGAGGCCGCCGATGCACACATGTCCTGCTGCGAACCTGTGATCTGACTTGAAGCTTAACTTGTCCATATGGTCCTGAGCTTCTGACTCAATGTGTCGGAGCCACTTCCAAATGATGGCGAAGGAATGCAGATGCATCGCAAAACTTTTGGCTGTCATAGTTCCAGCAACGTCCGACACCGGGTGAGCCCGAACGGGGAACGTTGAGAATGTGCTAGAGCCTTCGCAGGTCACGGACTATGAGTCTGTGGAACACATCATGTTCGAAGCTAGCAAGTGGAAGCGGCTTGTGATTGACGAGCCGCAGGAGACTGCCTCGCGAAGTACTGACATGCAAGCTTCGATAACGCACTTGCAGGATGTTACAGGGTTTATGGGTCCTTCGTCCTTCAAAGCTCCTTGTTTGGGTGTGACTGTCTGCCTCCACATTGCAACACCTCCGAGTAGGTCTTCCAGCGCTATTTCATGGTACTATTCGTTTAAAGCGTGCTGTTTGCAGAGCGCTGTGCATCTGAGCTGGGGCATGCAAGGACTGTCCCGGATCGGAGAACTGGCAGTCTTTGCTGGCTCTTGCCGATGGGTTTCGCGATGACGGCATCCCTGAGCAGGTTTAAAATGTCCTTCTTCTTTCTTTGGCACTCGTGGTTCTGCCAGGAGCCGCCATCTGGCTGCTTTGCGGCACTGCTCCCTCCCAGCTGGAGTCCATAGGGCCACTGCTTCTGGGCCGGCGGAACTGGCACGTGGCCTGGCGCCAATCCGAGTGGACAGGCCCCGGCTGTCCAAGCCTTTCCCGCTTTGGCAAGAAGGGGCATCTCTGGGGAGCAGGAAGGGCTTTGCAGGTAATTATTCGCTGACTCGCAGATTTCTAGTATCAGGTGCGGTTGGATGGACAGTCCGGGATAGTGTTATGAGCCGCTTTCCGTGGTCTGCCAGTCACAAATATCTTCCGTCAAGAGCCACCCCATGGACCCGAAAGAGAAGAGCCAAACCCGGGGCCTCAAAAGCACTCGTGTACAGTCCCCTTGTGGTAGGATGGAGTGCCTTTAGCGTACCCTTCTCGTATCACACTATATCATATCGTGCCCACCAACCTGACCCATGGTGCCCCTACAGCAGCTCATACTGATTGTTGTACCATATTGTACCCACGACTTTGGGGGAGGCTTCCCACAGCTGGCTCATCTCATCCGGATGCGTTTCCTGGCGGATCCTCCCTGGGCCTGCCTGCCGCGGCCGACCCTACAGTGGCACAACGAGGCCAAGTGCTTTATGGTTTAGGGAGGGGTTTGCTTTAGGTGTATGGAGACTTCGAGAGCTTTTCTTCGGTTTTTGGGCAAACTAGAATCGGAGTTTGGCGTCACTGCATTTCAGCTTGGTATCAGATGTTTTTGCACGCACTGTACATCAGGACCACTTCCGCCTGTTGTCTGTGCCAAGGTTGGTCCTACTGATGCGAGGCGAAGGCTGTTGAAGGCAGTTAACCCAGGACTCGAAATGGACAGCTCTGAAGTTGAAACACAACACAGTGACATTTCGATCCCCTTGAAAACCTCAGAGAGGCCCATAGAATGTCAGCTGCGCTCTTTGCCAGCCCGTCGTGCTCCGGCCCCGGGAAAGCACCGACGCTGCAGTGGCCAACCTCGCCGGCTTCGTCCTGGAGCTCTGGGATTCTGTGGGATTCTGTGGGATTCGGTGGGAGCTGTTTGTTTCTCCGACCTGTCCATGCAAGGACAGCGTGCTGCTCCTTTCCTTCGGGGCCGGCACAGCCTTCGCGGCAGCTCAGGCAAGTGTTGGAGCCTGGCAATGTAGAACTAACGCAGATCTACCTGCAGGAGAGAGATCAGCTGCTGCTGCAGATGGGATGGTCGGCATCTCAGCCTCTTAGCACTCCTGGTATGTCCTGGACTGAATCATGCGGCTTCACAGCAGCTTTCTGCATCAATCCTTTTCTGTTTTCGCACACGCCTGCATGTCATGTTGACCAGTCCTGACACAGCTTCTGCTAGTAGGGCAGCTGGAAGCCAAGAGGTACAACTGCGTGGGCACGTCCCTGCTGCCACCTGCAGAGCATGCATTGGCGGACTGGGAGGGTACCGTGGCCCAGCGCAGCCAGCAGAAGCTGGAGAAGCTGGCAGAGGACATTGCTAAGCTGGAGGCGCCCTGTTCAATCCGAGAAATCCTCCGGCCGCTGAAGGGCCATCATCAGTTGCTTGTGCAGGCAACCGAGAACCAGCAGGGCTTGCGCTACCAGTTGGCAGGGGGGGACGCTGCCATGGCTCCAGACCTGTCCTTTCTTGCAGTGGAGACGGTGCGCGTTCATCTAGTCTCTCTTCTGCATCTAGCTACTACCGATAGCACTGTTAATCATGCATCAATTGGAGGCATTTTTGTCATAGTTGTCGCTGTTAATCTTGCTATTGTTGCTGTCGCTGAACACGCTGCTTAGGATTGGTCCGCGGGTAATTGTAAATGGAATTGGACTTTGGGGTTCAAGCTTTTTCTGCGAAACAGGCGGAGAGAAAAGGTTCGGCCTTGGTGCGCAAGTTCTAGCGGAAAGGGTGGTTGTGGTACGCCGAGGGACGGGGTGGGGTGTGATGTAGTATTCTTCGCTTCTTCGCAGGGTGCACCTGCTTTTTCGCTGCCGGCCATCCAAGGAAGGAATGCAAGACGGCCCAGCAGCTTAGTAGCAAGAGGCAAAGAGACATACACCGCTTCGTTGCTTTGTAGAGTTCGCCTCGTGAACCCATGGCTGCTTGGTCCCTTGCACACAGCAATTTTTGCCGAAACCACAGAGAACAGGTACCTAGGACCTGGCCGGGGCCACGGGCCTCGGGACAGGCAAGATCTATGCACGTTTACGATCGTTTACGTCAACTTTCTGGGAGACTTGCTGGACAAGTGTCCATCTAGCATCAAGTGATCCTCGACCAGGTTCTCCTTGTAGACCTGACCCTTGTCATGGGTTGGCCAAGCGGGTCCTAAAGCCGCCAAGCAGAGGTGTCCGAATCTGCGTGCGCTGCCGAGTGGAACGCCCTCCTCCCGAGCCGGAGCTACGAAGGTGCTGCTCTTTTTGGCACGTTTTTCGGAGTTGTGGGGTTGATGCCAGCCTTGGCTCTGGGAGGCGCGGTGGCTCGGGGAGTCGGCGAAACGAGCTGCATCGCCTTGTACGATGAGCCAGCGGATGGCGATTTTGCGGCAGCCGCCACCGCTGCCCAGGCCCGCGCCCCGGGCTATCTGTGTTACTCGTACCCGCAACACTGAAGATTTGAGTTCTTCGGCCCGTTCTCTAGTTTTGGGATTTCACGTCAACGCTTTGCAGCAAAGGCCGCAGGTGCCATCGCCGTGATCTTCGCTGCTGCAGAGTCAGAGAGACCTTTCGGCTACCCTCACGAGAGAGCGCCACCAGGCCGAGCTCAAAAACTTTCCCTCTTTGGCGTGTGGATGTGTGTCGTGTGTGTCGTGTGTGTGCTGTTTCGGAAGGCATCCCGGCATGCATGGTGAGCCGTCGCCTGGCACACGCTCTCTTCTCCTCCGTGGCCGCCAACCGGCCAGTCACGGCGAGAGTGCTGCTACTTGCGCAGGACCGCAGGCTGACTGCGCCGCTTCGAGTGCCCGTGTTGAGTCGGCGGAAGGAAAGCCCGGAGGAAGACAAAGACGTCGAGGAAGGCCTGGTCTCGGCCGCGAGGCTCAGAGGCTCAGAGTGCGAAAGCCTCGGCTCGCGGTTCGCTTCTTGCTGAGGCCTTCATCGCAGATGATGCTGTTGACACTGCCCTACACAGACAGCTCAAGGCGGAGACAGTTTGTCCCGAGGTTGAAGCGCCTGTGCCTGCGCCTCGGTGGTGAGGCTTTGCGAGGCGAGCGGGAGCGCTGCGAGCGCTCCCTCCGATTCGCGAGACAGATGCGGGCGCTTCTTGAGAGGCTCTCGCTTCATAGCTGCGAGCATTTCAGGATCCTGTTTTGGCAGCTCATCGCCCTGGGCCAGGAACGAGGCTCACTGCCCCGTTTGCTTCCAGGCACTTGTGCAGAAGTCAGGGCGGCTCTGTTTGTGGAAGATACCCCACTTACTGTCAGAAGCTCTTTTCTCCTGCGCCTTGCCTTTGCCAGTCTGGAGCAGAGACGGAAGCTTTTGCGGTTCTCCCCGACTGCCCGGGCCACAGACCCTGCAAGATGTGCCCTGTGGCCTCTCCCTTAATTTCTCTGGAGGCTTCCACATTCTCTGTCGCGCCTGCCTTGAGCAGCAGGCCTGTGTGACGGGACCACCTGCAAACATGCTGGAACATTCAATGCGCTCCAGGCCGGCATGGATCCAACTTTTGGCTGCCGGTGGCTGAGGAGTGACCTTTAGAAGGACGAAGAGACTTACTGTTCAGGTTCTTCGTTGCCGCCAGTCATCCATGGGTTGCTGCATGAAACCAGGTCCTATGTGCCGCACATCCGTGTTTCGCACCGGAGCTGCAAGCATTGCAGGTTCTAGGATCCGGATTGGAGGCTAGCGTTTCACAGGTGATCAGGTCTCTCAGAGCCTTTGCCATCAAGGTTTGGACGTGGTCGTCTTTCGCGCACCTGGCAGGCCAGAGCCTACTGTGGACGAGGCCCCAGCTCCTTGCGGAGTTTGCTTGACAAGACAGGCACTTAGTGCTTGTGTCCCGACTGAGCTCCTCCACGTGGAAGGATGACGAAGACCCGACGACGGTGAAGACTTGTGAGGAACTCAGCCAATCCGATCTGCGCGTGTGTTGTGGTGACACTCTCGGAATCAGGCTGCGGGGATGCCGAAGACTGCAGTTGTGAAGGGCAGGCGACAGCAAGCTGTCACGAGTGTCAAGAGTCATGGCAGTCTTTCTGCCGACGTCAGGGGCTGGAGGTAGCTTCTGTGCAGCGCGAGGCAACGGCTGGAAGCTGTTATGGGTTGCTTGGCGAGCCGTGGCTTGAATCTCCTCCCAGGTGCTGCCATCCAAGCTGCAACGCCTGCTGTCGCTGCTCAGGGAACTACTGGCTTGTGGGCCGGAGGCGGGATTGTTTAGGAGCAGAGCTTGTGATCACATCGGCCGAAGGGACAAATCCAAGTTCGAATCGTGGTCATGGTGCTTCCTTCCCGTCACGATGGCTTGGCATCTTTACACGCGAAACACATGCGCGGTATGCGGAACTTGACTTGAGGAAGGGATGTGATGTGGCTGAGCCGGTTCGTCCTGGAACAGAAAGCGCTTCTTCCAGAGCCCATCGGTCTTTGGATTCGCGGTGCAGCACGGCAGGAGCGGGTGCTTGTCTACACGCAGTGGGCCACCCATGTGGCCAGGATCTTACAGAGGGTCCGTGTGGATTGTCAATGTCATTTCGGGGAAGGGATCTGATTTGAGTACTCTCGCAGTGACAGCTAGGTCTACTTGCGAGAGGTGCTGCAGCAGCAGGGTGTGCCAGCCTTGGCCCTGGCAGTGGCCTCGGAGCGGCGCACAGAACAAGAGTTTTCGCAGGCGAGGTCCTTGAACTGGACAGGTCGGTGAGCTTCGAGACACCATGGACGTCCTGAGTCGCTTTGGCAGCCCCGACGAGCCGAGGGTGCTGGCCCAACCGTTGTCGTGGCAAGCGTTTTCCCAACGCGACGGTGACTGTGCGGTGCAGGTGCTCCTCCTCTCTAGCCAGCGACATTCTTCAGGCATCAACTTGCAGGCAGGCAGCGGAAGCGACGACACTTCGAAAAGTAGAGACGAGTTTGCCCACTTCAGCGCTCACCCGCAGATGGCTCGGCACGTGGTGATTGTGCATCCTTATTGCCAGACACTCATGTCGTGGCAGCACATGGCATTGTATCGCACCAAGCGGAAGTGTGGCTCTTCGCAGATTCCAGGCACGCCGACCGCCACCAGCCAGGACAAGTGAGCACGTAACAATGCGTAACGTTGCAGGGAGGTGCATAGCAAAATCCCCGCAGATTGCAGGCCAGTCCCTGTAGATCCCGATAGTGGACCGGGCTCGCTTCTCACAATCCCAAATGGTTTTTGCATTCGCTGTCACAACTACTTCCTTTTTCGAGACCTCGTCTTCCCACTCCATGCGGCCGGGGTAAGGGTGCTTGAGCTTGGCTTCTTGCGAGGACTCCATCTCCCGGCTTCAGATGTTGGCCTTTGAAGCGCAAGCGATCGGTCGAGCCTGGTCCTCGGGATGAGGGGCTGGGGCTCGAGGAGAGTTTCACCGTTCAGCCTTTGCCTTCCCAGGTCCGACGTTATCCGCAGAAGAACACCGTGCATGCCATCGCCTGACTTCTCGGTAAGTCTTTGGCGTCTATGAGCATCCCAACTCCTGAGGTCCACCGCTTGTTTGCGGTGGGATCTGTGGAAGAAGAGCTTTATGCTGGAAGGCCAGAGCTTGCCCTCGTGTTTTGGAGGTTCTCGCTCCCTCGCATCGCACAGGTGAACCTGCCTTCCATCCATGGCTTCCTTCTTGGCTGAAGCGGAAGAGCTAGCGTAATGTGAAGCCTGAGTTAGTGACACCGTCAGTTCATGCACCCTTCGTCCGGTGCATGTCCGTGGCCATGTTCATAACGTCCATCAGCTGCCAGGGTGAAGAGCCTTGCGTTGCGAAGCGATCGCAACGGGCGCGGATCCAGGGAGGCGCCTGAGGCATCCCAATGCGAACAGGTTTAGGATCTAGGGTTCAGGGAACCCCAAGCCCCAGTAATCGAACACTTCTTAGGCGATGACAAGAAGATTTCGCATGGGTCCTGTGCACGAGCAGCTGTGGAATTCGGCATGTGTAATTACCCTAGGCTGTTTGATTTTCCACCACGGGCCTCCCAGCTGAAATGCTCCGAACCGGCCATGGCAACAGCCCCTCTGCATTTTCCGACAACTGGCATTTATGGCTCCGCGGTCTGCATCCCTTTTCAAAAGCCCTCCGCAGTCTTCGCTTCCCAACATACCAAAAAAGAGCTTCACAAGAGACGCCAAAAGGAACATCGCCGAGCTTCAAAATGGTTCGCAGTATATTTCCTATGCTTCGTTGATAAGCATGTGCAAAGCAGGGATTTGCAGACTCGGGCGTGCCGAGAGGCCTCCTCACTCCTGGAATCAGGCGAACAAACTTGAGAAGATCGCTAGTGATCAAAACATAGGTTTTACCTCCAGTTGCTGAGGTGCGCAGCAAAGATCTGCAAAGCAGCCAAGCAGCTAGTTGTGCTTGGGATCATTTCGACGTCTTCTTTCTGCAGCCGTTCTGGCTTTGGAAAATTCGGAAAACACATCGACATCAGCAGTGCTGTTGAACCGGCAGGGTTTTCAGTTCACTCGAGACTCGAGGGAAGATCTGCGCGGTTCGGCTGCGCTCTACAGAAGCGTGCCACTTCCACTTGTCTCTTTGGGCCATGTTTTGGGCCCGTGGCCATGGCCATGTTTCCTCAGGCGGTGAGGAGAGCTGCAGGCCGGCCCAGGGAAGGCGTCGCACTGACTCGTCTAAGGGGGCCTTGGGTGTCTCGCCTCTGTTGCAAAGGCATCGCACGGCGGCGAGCGCCGCTGCTGCAAGCCCCCTAGAGAGAGACTGCAGACTTTCATGGAAGCGCCGCCTCTGCGTCAGAAGGCTCGTCCTTGACTTGGATGAGACGCTGGCACCCCCGAGCTTCTATTTTTCGTGCCGTTGGGCACACAGTGTGCTGCGACAGCCAGGTGCGGGTTTGCTGCAAGGGCGTCCACCACAACCGGAATCTGAGAGTCGGCGGCTCGCCTAAATTGGACTTCATACTGTGCGCCGGCAGCTTTCAGAAGCACGCGTCTGGCACGTCGCGTCTGCTTGAAGTGAATCGCGCAGATAACGCACACACACACACACGCACGCAGAGGGGAAGCTCCCTTTTATGGTCTTGTTGGATTGGTGTTGAGGGCGGGTTTCCGTCTACCTGATCTCAAAGGTCAGAGGCAGTCAAAGGCGAGTATTCGCCAACCGCGCCCATTCAAACGAAACCGGAAAGAACGGGAACCAGTCAAACGTCCTGCAGAGGAGCTAAAACCCACGGCCTGAAGCAACTGTCGTCCAAGCAGATGGGCCAGAGCGCAACAGCGGAGCATTGCCGAGCACGGAGATTGTCGTTGTCGTTGGTTCCTGGCCAGTTGACTTCCGGGTGCCCATCGAAGTGGGAGCTCTGCCGAAGGCCACCACGCCCCGGCCTCGGCTCGCCACGCGGCCACGCGGCTCGGTCTCTGGGTGCTCCCTTTTGCCCTTAGGTTCGACTGTGGAGTCGCTTTGCGCCCGGGCGTGGAGTGCGGAGCCTGGAAGGCGCTTGAAGGGCACCGAAGCTCTGAGTTGGGACATGTGAGGAGTTTCATGGAGTGGATCAAGGAGCTTCATGGAGTGGATGTGTGCAGTTCGCCTAGTGCCCGGTGCGCAAGCGTTTGTCGCGGTTCGCTCAGAGGCAAGAATTCACAGCAGCAGTTGGATAAGGAGCTTGCACAAGCGCAAGTCGTCCTACTTCCGAATTTGCATTGTGGTTCTCGGTATCTAGCTGGGATCGTCTTAACTTGATTGTTTTCCATTTTCCAGAGAAGCTGACTGTATGATCTCCATGCATGCGGGGTTTAGGGCCATTGTTTTCTCTCTACGGGAATCAATGGACCCGTGTATCTATAAGTGCGGTAGTCGGGCCATTGGCCATGAGTCAACGGAATCTTGGTGTAGACTGTAGACCTTCGTCACTTCCGGTTTCATTGATTATCAGTTATCAATATTCACTCTCTGAATATTAAACTGGATTTCCTTCAATTGAACTCGCTTCTGCCGCTTGCTTGCCTGCTGCCCTGCATGGGCCCTCCCTCCCTCCATTTGGGAGGAGAGGCGGCGAGAAGGTCTGATTGAAGGCCAAGAAGTGTTGCTCTTGCACCGCCCGATCATTTGCCTGCCATTGTCTGAGCAACATGTTCTGGAATTGGGTGCAGCTGTTTAGATGGTCGCACCCTGGTCCAGCATCCTCCAGCCGACAGCATGGAAACCTTACGGCGAATCGGGAGGACATGCCACGCGACTCGTCTTACCGATCGCAAGTTTTGCAGTCGAAAGTGTAAAGTGGCTGGCATGGAGCTTTCAAGGTTCATGTCAGACGTCATGCCGACATCCAAAGTCAATTCTTTCATGCGACCCTGAAAGGAAATGTGTGCTCCGGACCAGAGTCTCGTCTGAGATGTTGAACGGAGTTGCTGCCGGTGATGTGCCAAGAGAGTGCAGTGCCCGTGCCTGGGCAGGAGCTGCATTCAGTACTGGCTTTTGCCGGAAAGAGCTCCGGAGTGGTACTCTGGCTGAATGTGCCGAAGTGTGCCTGGAAGACACGCCCCCTCGCGCAACTGTCAAGGTACCGCAAACTGGTTTTGGGAACTGGCGGAAGGGACGTGCATTCGCAACCACCGCCGAAGGACTCTTTACCACTGCTAGGCAGGAGTGCCTGGTTGTTCGTGCAAATTACTCTCCTTGTCTGTTACTGAGTAGACTTCCATTCCATGGCTTGCAGGCCACCTTGACCTCACCGTGCCAAAACTAGTGGTGCCTCAGCGAGCACCTGAAACTGAGAGTTCGTTACGTGCAGTTGGCGCCCCATCGTGCACCAAGGATGCAAAGGACTACTGGATCAGTGGTCTAGGAGCCGTTGAGAACTACAAAGAATCCGTGGGTGAGTTGCTCGATGTGTGATACTGCTCGGTGTAGCGACATCTGTCAACCTCCAGCACCGGGACGATGCATCAAGCTGCCGCCCTGCTGCTGATTCTGAGGCTTTGGGCACACCTAGGACCCTCGCAGATTCGTATGAGCGAGGGCAGCATTCGCAAGTGGCCTGGAGAGCCTGCATCTTAGCGAGCGATTGCTTGCTTCCTTTCCGCACTGCGCTGGCTGCAAGGATTCGAATCTGGGTGGAGGACATTCGAACGGTTGCCGAGACTGGGCATGCTTCAGCTTGGTTTTCTTCTGTGTCGTGCTCTTGGGGCAGCACCAGCCAAGGACATGCTCAACATGCTGGGACGCAGCCTGGACGCGAAACTGGTCGCTGAGATGCGAGAAGCCACTACCGGCGGCGAATATGCGGCGCAGTTTGGCTGCAGAGTTCTGTTTTGCCTGCTTGTTTGCACGTTCCCAATACTGGAGCAACGAAGATCTTTTTGTCAGACACTGAAGCCGGGAACCAAGCTGTTCGAGTCTCTTAGCAAGTTCATGATTGTCGTTCTTTCTGTAACGTGCTATTCAGCTTGACTCCCCGAACTTACGGGCCGTGTACATACCGTCGATGGAGTAACGACTCCCATCAAGTTTCGTACGTTCCCCGGTTTTCGTGGCTTTGGTCATCACTGGTCATAGTCATTGCTCTACTGGTCGGAGCACACGAACCGGTCCAAGAGTCCGAATTGTGACGCATACTTGGGCACTGGTGAGTGCATCCCAGGCTGCTGCATGACCCTGGCCATGTCAACAAGGTCCAAGCCAGCGAGGCAGGTTGCTCTTGGCAGCAAGTCGTCTTCGTCAGAGCATTGCCTTTGTTGGAAGGCACCTTCGGGTTGGGCGGAAGCGATTCGGGCCATTCCATCTGGGCTGTGCCTTTGACCCCGAGGTCTGCGAGGGAGGGTGTGTGGCTTTTTTACCTTCTTTCGCCAAGGAGCGGCGAGGTCCGCAAGAAGAACGCCCTGGCTCTGTCCGAAGCGGTAGTTTTGCTGCCAAAGCGAGAACAGATCCAAGGCCACTCGCAGAGAAACGATTTCTGGCTCTGAGACTCTAGGGAGCGGACAAGTCTCACAGGTGTCGCGCGCTTCTACGACCACTTCATTGGCTCGGCCATCACGAAGAAGTATCAGGTCTACGAGGCTGAGCGGGAAGAAGGGCTTACGTGGTTCTCGAGAGTGCAAGCGTTTCGTGAAGGCACAGGCATTGATGGACATTTGCATGGTGCACTTTGCGCCGGGTCCGAAGCTGCACCAGACATTGACCTACAAGGCAGACAAGACAGCCGTGTTTCCTGGCCGCACCGGCTGCAGCCTAGGCTTAAGCTCGTCTTAACAGCGGTGCCGGAGAGATTGTAGCACCGAGCGTAAATTGCATCTGACTGCCAGGGTTCCGAGCAGCCTGGCTTCCGCCCCCCGGCAGAGGCTTTCATGAATTTCGTGGGCTTCCAAGCCGGGATTGGCTCCCCGGATTGTCAGCACGGCTCGTCTCTCATTGCCACTGTTTTCTCAACCCAACACTGACTCAACACCATGGTAGAAGCACGGTAGAGCTAGTTTACGGAGTGGTGCGCGCCGGGTCGCTATGAGTTACAAGAAGTGGGCGCGCGTATCCTTTCAGTTTGGGGCAACCGTGGGATCCTGAACTGCACGACACAGTGCCGGCTCCACTCATGTTCCATGCTGCTGCAGACCGAAGCATCGGGCAGTTCTACGTCGCACATCCATTAAGGGTCACTGTAAGGTTTCCTTTCAGGGCTCCGTTAAGGGACGTACGGGCACTAGACCTGTTCATATCATGAGGAAGCGTAAGAGCTCTGATGTTGGAGCTCAGGTTTGCATTTATTTGAAGGACCACGTGCAGTTCCACTTGGTATACGTGGCTTGCTTCAAAATGTTTTTTCCGAGGTGATAGCTGGTACAGCTGACGGTTCTAAGTGTCTGAGGCCAAGTGCAAGGCTGCAGGGATCCTGAGACCAGACGATGCAAAGAAAAGCTGGGAAGAGGCGCGGGCGCGACGCGAAGTTTCAGTGCCACGACATGGAGTTTAACACCAAGCCAGGTCGAGTCTGCGCACGAGTACACGATTGAAGGCAGCTGCAGGGCCGCGCCAGAGCCAGTTTTCATACACTTAAATCTGGTCGCTGCACAGTGTCCTGTCTGCTATGTGTGGTGTCCTGTATCAAGCACAATCTGGGAGAACGGCCACAGCATTTGAGAGGCGTTCTCGACCCTCAGAGCCATTCCATGGTCATCGCCTTGCACCATGTGATTAGATCCCTGGACTTATTGTGGTGCGCATGAGTCGGGCTCCGGAAACCAGGCTTCCCTGCTTGAAGGAACTCTGGAACACCCCGAATGCCCTCCGAGACCAAAATGAGTGTGATGCTGGGTGCGATCGACGTAGCGAAGTAGGACATCTTTTGGCCTTTTGCGCCGTTGAGGTGCCAAGGACTTTCTGCGACCTGTGTCTTGCGAGAGCACCAGGCACAGGCGGAGGCTGCAAGAGGCAGCAGTGGAATCGGTCGAGGCTTGAAGCCCACCACGTCTCACTGCAAGCTCAGAAGTGAATCGAGCTGTGCCTTGTTTAAAAGAAGCCGGGCAAGTTTGGAAGCGACCAGCGGAGGACGCACACTGCCTGCAGGTCCATGGATCTACACGACCGCCGCTCCAAATTATACGAAGGCTCCAAGTCTTGCTACCTCTCCGGCAACGCAGCCGCGGCTTGTGGAGCCTGGAGAGAGCATCAGGCCCTGATGCGTCACGTGGATCCCGGGGGCCGTGTCTTTGCGATGCGTGCCCGGAGCCCACAGAGTTTCGGGAGCGGAGGAAGGCCCCTTTGCTTGCGCATAGAAGCGACATATGAAGGTCCTGACCAGGGAGAAGTGCAAGCCATGTGCCATTCCAGGATTCCTCCTCAAGGACCGATCAGGGGTCGAGATCTCCAAGCTCAGAAGCTCTTTGGAAGACATCCTCCCTGATCAGGAAATGTCTCAGATCCCGTCGAAACATGACGCGGATGATGCGACGGATGGGCCCTCGGCTTCGATCCGAGCTTCGGGTCTGCTGATGTGGCTCGCAAGGAACAGCAGCTTCTTCAACGCCGAGTGCAGGGCCCGGCAGTGCCCGAGAACGGTTTGATGTCCCGAGCTGGAGGTTCTAGTTGACAACAGCCCGGTGTCCTGTGTTCTGCATCCCAGCGGATCTGTCGGGAGCCTGCGCTTGTGGTGAGCGAGCTTTGTGCTTGACATCTTGCTCTCCGTTTCCTCTTAACCCTAAACCCTAAACCAAACCCTAAACTTAGGTCTTGGTCCGTGACTGGTTGGGTGAGGGCGCCGAAGACGACGAGTTGCCTCGCGTGCAGCGCCTGCTGGAGGCAGACCTCAGAACTCAGAACTCCTTTCTTGGGGACCACGGGGCGCTTCTGAGGCCGTCCTTGAAGATGACGGCGAGAGTGAGGCTGTGAGATGATGTGAGCTTCTCATTCTCATCCTTGCTCTTGGAGCTGTGTTTCTGGCAGGCTGACTATGCCGCCCGTTTGGCTCCTCGACTGCATGCAAGTCTCTCGACACTCGTTTTGCGCGAGCCATCGACAGGTTCGACATACAGCCGGGCACGGCAGCTGGAGTGCACGTTTGAAGGCGCTTCTCCATGTGCTGAAAGCTCCAACGGTGACATGAATTGCCGAAGCTGAGGGGTGAGAATGGAGAGCTTTTGGGCTTCGCAGCGCTTCCTTGAAGGCACTGAGTGGCCTTCTCGAGTCGCAGGCCCCAATGGAGGCATCTTTGCGGCCTGCATGCGCCTTTGTCTTCGCACGTGTATCTGCAAAAGCAGCTGCTCTCGATGTGGGAATGGACAGGCAGACGAACTGCGCACAATGTTTCGCCGAATCTCCAACGAGCTCGGGGCCGAATGAGGGCATGCTGCTTCACGGCTGAGTACTCCAGTCCTTTGCAATGGGAGGTGCAACGATATGAAGCGTGAGCTTCTGGGTGCAGCACCGTGAGGTGCAGGCATTCCGTGACCATATTGTGTAGACACAGATGGTACCGTGCTATACATGCATTCAGTATTCAGAAGCAGAAGGCATAGCAAGCGTTGGTGTAGGACCGCGTGCTTGAATTCTTGAAGTAAGTTCATGAGGCCGTTCCTTACCAGCTGTAGCAGTTAGTGGATGGCTGCTGGTCGTTTCCACACCTTCGGCAAGGAAGCAAAAACAGGTGTGCCCTCAACTGCCTCCATGCAGATGCTGCAGAAAGGCTGCCACATGATTCTCAGCGCATGTCAGATTCCACGATAAATCATGAGTCTTCATACAGGAGCTCATACTACAGCCGGCGGTGATCTTGACATGATCATTGGTGGCCGTTTGTGGATCTGGTAGCACCGCAGATTACATAGATTGAGAGAATCCTTCAGCAAATGGCATTTTCCCAAGGCCGCTCGCTTTCCTGGCCGGGAGCCACTGTCTACGCCAGGCCCGGCAACGTACAGCCCCTCATCCGGCCTGGGGCGGCCTCGCGTGTTGGCCTACAGCTTCGGGCAGCCGAAGGAAAAGCCCGACAAGGCCAAGCTTCGCAGGATTGATGTTGCCCATCTGCGACTGACAAAGGAGCTCGGCCACGGCGGGCTGGGCATTGTATACAAGGATTTCTGGCAGGCAAGCCGGTGGCTGTAAAGAAATACCGGCACCAGCCGAACTTGTACACTAATCCAGACCAGGACCGAGAGGCTTTGCACACGGAGGCCATGCGGCTAGAAAGTATCAGGCACCCGAACGTCGTGCATGTGGTTTGTTTCGTGGTGGAGAACGGAACTTTGGATGGTTTCGCAATGGAAATGCTTGGAAAAAGCCTCCAACAGGCTTCCAGCAAAGGCCGTTTGAGCCACTCTCGCCTTGCAAAGGCCTTTCAGCAGACCTGCCAAGCCGTGGCGCAATTCCATGGCATGCTTGTTGCACACTTGGATATCAAGCCTGCCAATATTTGCTTTAAGGTTTGCAAAGGCTGTTGGATCAAGTTGATCGATTTCGACTCAGCCATGCAACTGACGCACCCCGACCAGGTCTTGCAAAGATTCCATGGCGACCTGGTCGTAAGATCCCCGGAAAGAGTGGGAAAGCAACCCTGCCTCGCACTTGCCGAAGACAACTACATGACCGGTCACACTTTCTATACTTTGATCGGAGACACGCACGGCCACCGCGTGGCAGAGGAGCTGCAAGCACGTGCCATGCGCTTGATGCGACCTGCAGGCCAAAGGCCTTCAATGCAGGACATGCTGCAGCAATGGAACAAGCCTGTCGAAGATGAACCGGAGCCGACAGAGCCGCTGCCGGTGTTGCTGGGCTCACAGGCGAGTCAGGACATTCTAGCAAAACTGTTTGAGTAGGCTCGCTCCTTCGCCCGCCGCTTGTCAAGGGCAAGACAAGGCTCTCCGTTTTGATTTTAGGATAGTGTAGCCGTTCCTACAAGGGGCCATGTTACTACTTGGTGCCTCGCCTTTTAGCACAGCCTTAGTCTCGCCTGGCGGAAGGGTGCAAGCTGCATGAATGATTTTACGCCTTTCTTTTTTCTGTTGTGCCAGCTGCTTATCGACTAAGCGCAGATGGCTGCATGCTTGATTCTTGATCAAAGATGCACGATTGAATTGCATCGAACATGCGGATGACATTCCTCAGAATCTGCCGCTTGGCTGGCTTGCAATAGGAGCCGTTCCCTGTTATGTTGTGCAAAACCACATTAATTACCTTTCTACAACACCTAAGCCAAAGCTCGCAAGCTTGTCCATGCTTCAGCTTGAGGCGCTGCCGCTTCGCCAAGCTGGCCCGGCAGACAGTCAATGCTGGTTGGTGAGCGTGCATGAGGCAAAGATGAGCGTGCACAAGGGCTACTCGGAGGTTCATACCAAGCCCTTGCTGCCGTTCGATCTCCAAGTACTGTGGCGAGCGACCGAACTGCGAGGCATCCATGTTGCAGACGGAGGGATGACTTTGAACTACCACCACGACAAGCACGAGCGCGGACTTTGCTCGCCTGGACACCGGCCGGATCTCTTGGACTGGATGGGCAGCTTGTGCACGAAACGATGGTGGTCGACCCTGGCAGCAGAGACGATGCTTCGTTGCCCACCGTGTGAGAATGGGA